CAGCAGCTGTAGTAATGCAAGATCAAGCTCTCGCTGCACTCGTTCTCAAGCGGCTCCTCTATGGACAGTTGAAGAAACACTGGTCCTGTTGAACGAGATTGCTGCTCTCGACGACGAATGGTTCACTGCCCTCTCTTCCTACCAGAGATGGAAGATGATCTCTGACAACTGTGTTTCCATGAAAGTCAACAGGTCTTCCAGCCAGTGCAAGAAAAGATGGGAATCCCTCCTCTCTGATTACAAGAAGATCACGATCTGGGAGGCCTCAATCTCTGCCTCTGCCTATGGACCCTATTGGTCTCTCAAACCCGGCAGGAGAAGGCAGCTTCGCCTTCCTTACTCCTTTGACCAGCAAGTGTTTTGCTCTGTGGATGCTGTCATCAAGGCACAAGAGGCTAGAATTGCTTCTTCAGCAACCGACACTGACTCAGAAGACCTTATAGGTTTGCACGAGGAGGATAAGAGCAGTGGTGGCTCCCAAGGCATGGTTGAGGCTGAGGCTAGTGATCCAGATTATATTATCAGTATGCCTGAGGCTAAGTGTCAAGCAAAAGAGGTTATCAGTAGGCTAGAGGCTGAGATGGCTGAAGCCGATGCCGATTTAGGTAGCTCAACTGAGTTGCTAGTCTCCTACAATTTGAATAATTATTTCCTTGCAAAATTTATTGCCACTTTAGTCATATCAATTGTTTCAATTCAATACGCCGTGTCTAAGTATTCCAAAGGGATATAATGGATAAATAGTCAAAGGTTAGCAGTTTGTTAGTCAAGTTAGTTACATAAATAGTCAAAGGTGTAGCAGTTTGTTAGTCAAGTTAGTTATAACTTCGAAGTGCTTCATAGGCAATGCTTCTTGCCAAATTGACTTTATAGGTTCTTAGGAAGTGACATGGATGCACTAATCATAGCACCTGGTTCAGCCGTCTCTTATTTAGTAACAAATGACGTCAATATGTTTATTTCTCTTAATGGTGGATATATGTTCCTTCAACACATACATTTGAAGTTGTAACATCAATCTTTCAACTTGCCCTCTGGTAACAAATGAGACTGAGGGGAGAAGAGTAGAAGCAAGTATTTGGATGCACATATGATAAACCACAAATAAAGCTCATCATGCTATTATGTCACAGATTCCGCTACTTTCAGCGTGCAACTGTTTATGCATCGTCTTTCAAAATGATTCTGAAGCTAGTCACTGTAATTTAATCTTGTATGCAGTGTAGAATCCTTGTATTCAGAGTTTGAAACTGATAGTATAAAACTATAACCCTCAATCTACATCACAAATTCACAACTTCAGAGCTAGGGTGTAATGGTTAGGGACTAGGGACTTTAACATGTATCAGAGCAACTCAGGTTCGAATCTTGTTGGCCATAAATTTAATGTAGATTAAAAAAAAGATTGTTACTGCAACGTGAACCCATGTTTTAGCCCATTAAAAAGATGCTCAACCTACGAGGGCATGTTAGAATATAAAACTATGACCCTCAATCCTCATCACAGCTTCGGAGTTTTTGTGTAATGGTTAAGACTTCAACATAAACTAATCAAAATTATAGGTTCATTAACTTCTATTTTCTGGGACTTATAGAGTGATCTTTCTGCATGATAGGAAACAAATAGATCTCTTGATAGGCTCATCTCTTTTTTCCCCTGTTATTTCTTCAAATTTCTCTTGAAAAATGCGTGTGGAAGAATGCAAGTAACTTACTATATGATTGTCCGTACGTGAATAAAAAAGAATTAGTTTTCAAGATTGTGTAAGCCTTTCTTATTTCAATCTTCTGACTGGTTCAAATATGATTTGTATCTAGCGAATTAGAGATGCAATTGTTTTAAGTGGACAATTGTTTAATTCTCATCTCTCACAATGATTGAATCATACTGTAATTTAAAATCCTGTACAATATTTTTAAAAACTAACCAACATAGAGGTTTATTAATTTCTGTTATCTGAGGCTTATAGTAAATTAGTAATACATATAAATGTTTTTTGTTGTCCATGGCTATTAGAGATGTAATCTTTCTCATAAACGGAAACAAATAAATCTCTCGCACGACTTCTCTTTCTTTCTAGTTTCTTTCTCCTAACTGGTCCAAATATGACTTCTCAATGCTCACCCTTGTTCTACTGTCTTTTTTGTTCTTAACTTTTAGGTCCAGAGAAAACAGGGACTGATACTACTAAAAATACAAATAAGGAACATGAGATAACTAATAAGCTGAAAGAAAATGCAAAGGAGATACACGCCATATTGAGAGGTGAGCTACCAGATAATGTCAACCGAGGTTGTGGACTGGTGGAATTGACGAAACGAAATGCTGCTGAGACTGAGTTCACAAGACGACAAGCTGACGAGCTTATCAAAGCATTTGGGGTGCTTGCTAGAACTCTCAATCAGTTCAAGGAGCTAATCAAGGATGGTGAATGCAAAGAAATCAGTCTCATGAGCCCAATGGCCTTGTGAGAGCAGTTCTTCTATAAATAGCCTATTTGTTAATTGGACTAAGTACAGTCTGCAAGGAGAATTTCTTGGTTAGAATATGAGCTCAAAAGCGCCTAATTCTCAGCATTTTCATGTGGGAGCTTGAATTTAGAGGTTGCCTTAAAAGTTCATTTTGGTGGCATAGTTTTACTAAATGGCAAGTTCTCCAAAGTAAGACAGCTAATCATTTTAATGTTGTTGCAGTTCTAACTTCTGGAAATGAGAGGTTCAATTTAAAAGAATCTGGTCTTGTTTGTCTTGCATTTCAATAGAAGTCTCTCGATGCTACTTTTGAAAGCTTACCTGGATGTATCTTCTTGTGCTTGGATGTTTTTGGCAACTTTGATTTTGAAACTTCAATATGTTTGTAGGTTGTGTTTAGGGTCAATTATGGATAGACATCAGAATTGCTGCCTTAATCAAAGGTTTGTTAGAATATGACAAACATCTTTCTGGGTGTTTAATCCTTGGTTAAAGGTGCAGATTCTGTTTTGATATTCCTTGTAGAGTAAACGAAGTTATAGCTTGAAGCCTCTAACCTGATATTATGAATGATTTGACAATGGCCTTCTAGAAATAAGAAGTTTTGAACATACTGAATAATTGCTTGATAACTGCAGGATATGGTATCTGAATCAACATTGGCGTTACAGACAAAGAACTTATTAAAGGATTATCTGTCATGATACTGTATATCTGGCACACTGTTCATGGACGTTAGCGAATAATTTTTCTTGTGTCCTCTGGGAGGTTATTTCCACTAGGTTCATATTTTTTTTGATGACTTAAATCTCATGTAACGGTATTTCTTTTCCCTTTCAAATCCAGCAAATAGATTAGAACGTAACTCCAACAACATTAGGATTCTCTTGTATCTAGGGCATGCATAATGCTCAATGTTGTTACTTAGATTGGCCGAAATGATATGTTTTCTGTAGCTGTGCTTGGTGGAAACAACCTCTAGTAAAAATGCAAGGAAAGGCAGTGTATGATAGACCAAAAATGGTCCTACCCTTCCTCAACCCTGCACATTATTGGAGCTTCTTGCTCCGGACTGCCCTCAACCCTGATTCAATGCATGTGCACACATACAAACACTCGTCACATACACAGACACGGTGTCAGGAGAACTTGAAGACATTGTGGTAGGACTTCAACTAATTTCTTATTTTCTATTGTCAGAATGGAAATCCATTGATTGTGGACACACAGTAGACGTTGATGCCTGAAGGTTCCTACTGTTGACCTTTCCGTTAAAAGATTGTCTATTTTGTTCTGGATGAAGTTTATGTGTGACAGTCCGTCCATGAATGCGGGAAATTTTCAACGTTGAGCAGCAAACATCTTCTTCGCAGATGGCTAGAGGTGTGTGCTCTTAAGTTTCTGCCCTAAGAACCTTCTTATTCTTCAGATGGTGCATTTTCAATTGATCTGTCTCTTTGATAGTTAATCTCTCTACTTAGAGAATTGTAGTCTAGAATTTATGAAAGAGTTCATGCAACTAAGGGTGCATGGTTATTTACAGTGTCATGTGATGCCAGAATCAAAGTGTTCAGTCAATGACTAATACTATATGTGCATGCATGTGCAGTTGTGTTTGTATCATGTGTGTGCTATTCTGTGTCCTAGTAATTTATGATGTGTGTATGTGTGTGCTTTAAGCATGTGCAAAATATTAAGGGTAGCAGAAACAAGAATTTTACAATGGACTTGGGCTCCTGTAGATGTACATCAAGAGATAAGACAGAATTGAGTGCACTCATAGGAGGTTAGAAGTTTCTCCTATTGATGATAGAATGAGGGAGAACCAATTTTGATGGCTTGTTTGTGTGCAATGGAGGCCACAAAATGCACCAGTTAGAAGAAGTGATGATGAGATTATAATTAATGGACCAAGGAGGACTAAAAGTAGGCCTAAGAGAACTTGGTTAGAAGCAATTAAGAAGGGTATGATGGTGGTCAACTTAATGAAGGTGATAATCCTAAACAGAAGTAAATCAAAGATTGGATATGTAGCCGGCCCCAAACATTTGGGATAAAGGTTTTGTTAATTGTTGTGTATGTATGTATTTTGGTGGAATAAAACCCAAGACCCATAGATATCTCATGTATGATGGATACTTAAAAGTTATAAGAACCATGAATCACGTGAACAGCTATAATCCCCGCTATCAATGCCTTATTACGAAACTAGGTAAATTATAAAATGCACTGCATTTACAAACCAGATAGAACTGCCTGTCAATTATACGTTCAGTTTTTTACTTCTTAGTTTCAGATACTTCTCTGTTTCAATTTTCGTTTGTCTAGGATATGTTGTAAATTTCATGATAAGTCAACGAGAGTATCTGGCACTTCAGTATGCGTACACCATCTCCTTTATGTCTACTTTATCAGGATATCCTTACAATGTACCTGGCATTTTAATGTTTACAAAAGTAGCCCTCTTTGTAGCATGTGCTCTTTTAGGTATTATTTGCAGATTTCGACATGAAAGAGGACACATGCTTTTCTTCTTTTAGATGCCATCCTCATGCAGGACTTGGATTTTTACAGAATCCTGCAAACTTTCTTCTTTTCTTCATGCTATGTTTATCCTCCTAGGCAGATGATTCATCATAATTCCGAAATATCTTGGAACATGATTCATTCCAAGGCTCGTTTTACAGCACTTCTCATCTCATACGACATGTATCATTACTCTCCTGCTAGTACCATTCTAATACCTTACTAACTTGCCTCAATGATTTCACTATGAATACTATCATAACTGCACGTCTGGGCAATGGGAGTGGGTGTGGGCCCCATTTTGCCCCTGAATTCTGCCACCAACTTTTTCCATCGAATGGCTCAGAACAGCCCATCACATGCTGGCGGTTTCTGAAGGCTTAAGTTATGATGGGGAAACATTTTTCTCTTTCATCTATGTTTTATCTTGTTTTTGAAAGCAGATTGATGTCATGTTTTTTGGAAGAAAAAACCTGTTGTGATTTTGCATATTTATGATCATGAAAGTAGGTAATTACTGATGAGATGCCTGGCGAGAATATAGTGTTCCTCCCACCAATGACTATATGCCAAAGTGATTGATTCATCCTCAAGCCGAAAAAATATAGATTTCATCTCATATTCGCTGCATTCAAATTGTAGGTGTTTTCAGCGGAGGTGCATAGTTCATGCAACAGACTTGGCTCAACGGTAGTTGTAATCTATCAAGTTCTTCTTTGTTTGACCAAATAACAATAGCTTAAGTTTGAACCATAATGGTGCTGATGCTCTTATACACGAATGTTATCAACTGCGGAAGTATTGGAATTCCATAGAAGATGCTTCCGATACTCTCCAAGAGCCCATATTGGGAATATATTCCTATACGATGCATAGTTCAACACCCCATTCTTGCCAAGGCTTCCCAGCATTTCCTGCCACAGATGGTCAATAAATTAGCAGATCACAGTTGAAAATTTTATTGGCCTCTAAAATTTGTTGTCAGGCAGTTTCTTGGCCTAGAAATTTGTTCAACTTTAATAGATCTTTTGTCTCCTAATATTTCCGGACCTCAAACAAATACGGTCAGGTTCCATCACTGTGTTTTCGTCTTAGTTTTCTTGTGGAATGTTGGCACTAAATATTCAAAAGAGCTTATATTTTCCAATCCAGGGCAGAGTCACTTAAGTTGTGCATTTCGTGCTCTGGTATGGTTTATTTAATAATATACTATTATAAGTTTGCCTTTCTTTAAATTTCTCTTTTGCTAGAACAAGAGCTCCGTGACCTTCAGTTGGGAGGATTAAGATAGAAGGAAATAGGAATCATATGTTAATTTCACAAGTATGTGCATTCAAATCATCATTTGGTCCAAGTTAGAAACATTAACTTGCCTAGGATTTAGGGTGAGTTATGAAGTACTGAAATGGTTGAGAAATCAGAATTATATGGTGAAGCTGTACCTTTTATACAGTCAATCTCCTAAAAATGATAGTTAAACTTATCTTAAAGATAGTTAATAGGAAATATTATCTAGTTAATAGGAAATATTATCTTCTTCCTGTGACGGTATACTGCATCTCATCCTTTGTTTTCCTTCGGATAGAGCTTTCCGCTTGCTGTTTACCAAAATTAGAAACATAATGGATGACACCCTAGCTAAGACACTGAAAGTATGAAATACTGAAGATGTGCGTATATGGTTTAACAGATGGTATCATGATCGTAGGAGATTTGGGTTCATGTGCTTCATTTATGGCATTTGTTTCTATGAATATAAGCTGTGCATAGGTACATGGAGGATAAGGAACAGGAAATTAATCAGTGTACTAAACTACTACTGGTGAAATTGCACTGTAGTCAGTTTACCTGTTGAGGGAAATCCCCGTTTTCTTGTTGCGTATTTATGAGGAATTTTGCTGCACGATGCAAAGGTGCAGGATCTCTGGCAACCTATTTTTCAATTTCGGTCATGAAAAAGCATTAGAATCTTCAAATAGCATTTCTTTGCACACGTGTTCCCGTAAAAATGAAATATTTATATGAGGGACTTAAGTTTTGGAGAACTGTGCTTTACTACAAAGATGTGTTCTCTTAACATTCACAACATGAATTTGTCTGCACGCATGGGAGATATTAACAAGATATATTAACAACCATGTGGGTTCTTTCTGTGCAATATTTGGGTATATCCTCTTGCTGTATACTGATGGTGAATAATATTTCTCTGTTTTCCCTGTGTTCATTCATATGTAATTCTTACATTATTTCATATTTTTACTTTGTTTTCATGTTGTTATTCCATGCTATTGGTTGCTGCGGTATATTGTTGGGACATGTCATCTTCTCTTTCTCTTTATCCTACATGTGGAAAACTGATACTGATATGTACCATAGTGACATGAACTGCTATATTTATTGTGGAAATTCAAATTAGGCAATTACCCAAAACTCATCTTTATCTCTTTGAATTTTCTGTTTTATCAAGAAATTTTGCATTGGTAACATTGTCCATCACCTCCAAGATTCCAGTCCTCATTGCAAATTATGTCAGGTAAACATGCCATGTGAACACGCTCTCCTACAACCACAATGCTGTTAATAATGGGGATAACTATCGAGTTAGTGTAACTTATTTTAATGATAGTTGAGATTTTCTAGTCTACTGTCTTCATCACGGACGAAAATCATGTGTACAAAGTAAAATTGAAAAGAAATTGCAATTTTGTCGTCGGTCAATGCATCATAAAGAATACAGAACTATAGAATTTTGATGCTACATTGAAAAGCTCTATTATTGTGAACCTTGAATAACCAAGACAGAACCGAAATGATAACATTTCATGTGTCGGGGTCAAGTTTGCTGGGGAAGCCATGTCCATCTGAAGCCAGATGCAAGTTGTCATCTTAACCACTGGTCCGCCATCAGCATCATCTGAATCTTTTCTCATCAACACTGATTTCTGCTAAGAAGCAACACTGATTTCTGCTAAGAAGCACAAATCAATTTTTTGAAGGAGTTCAAACTGATATAAACCCCTTATCGTTTCATCAGTGTTGTAAGAAGGTACTGCCTAGCTTGCCTAGGCTTAGGCGGTACCTAGGCTGCCACCTAGGTCTTGGGAGCACCTAGGTTGCGTGGACCGTTTACACAGACAACACCGTTAGGTCTTGGTCGTCAATTTTACATGGACAGCACCATTAGGTCTTGGTCTTCAATTTCTCTGCTGCAACCTCTATGTCGTCTGACCTCCTCCACTAACTATGAACACCTCCTCCACCTCCCCCGACTTTCGTAAACACTCCTCCGCCACCACTTAAACAAAGAAGGAAATCTACCAATGCAACTAGGCGCTAGGTGCCAGTCCAAAGCCTAGCACTGTCTAGTACTTTCTATAATATTGGCATTTATTAACAATTATTTTAATTAAAAAATTATAGAGAAACTGCCTAGGCCCTGCTAGGCTCCTATCTAGGTGCCGTGTCTAGCGCCAAAGCCGCCTAGCGCTTTCCATAACCTTGGGCTTCATGCCAAATTCCTCATTGAGGTGAGTGTGGCCAAGAAAGAATCAAGACAAAGAACCTTGAGAGCCTGTTTATATGTAGTGGCGGAGTAAAGTAAAATTTCAGATTGGTTTCAACTAAGTTGCTTGTTCCCGTTGTGTCAAGTGGAAGTTTCGTACATGCTGAAATTTTCTAAGGAAAGTTAGTTTGCAGAAAGAACCTGGAGGGTTGGATGGTTAGAGCTTGGCCTGACTGAATGTTTTCTTTGGTTAGGGTTAGGATTACACTAAGATGATTACGATGCTCATTTGCTCTCTTGTACACTTAAGGTATAGCAGTACCAAGTATTGGCATGGACGGTTGGGTTCTTTGTTGCACAGCTTATAGTTTTAGGAGCTGACTTTCTAGGACGAAGTTCATGATGCCAACGTCTTAGCTTCGATATATTTTTGAATTTTTTTTTACTTTGTGGTCTATATATATAGTCAATCAATTACTATGAAAAATTTTCTTAACAAAATGTTTAAATTGTTAATTTATGGATTACTCAAATATCCTCAAGTCGACTAGCCAGATAAATACTGGATTATAGAAAGGAAGTTCACTTCTTCCTTTTTACCTGCAGGAGATCCCTGGAACAATGATAAATCATTTGTCGAAGGGCTGCAATCTTACAGATGACTAGTCCTCTAGTAAGTTGGAGATATATCTCAAACTTTTGACTCGTATTGTTTACGTTTAAGGACAGCACTGGCTTGCAGTTGCAAAACTTTGGAAGTGTATTAACAATAGCAGAATTTGAGATAACAGGAGATCCATAGATAGATAGGTTGTTATGGGAATTTTTCTACCATTATCTACGTCACTAAGTCCATCTTTATACCATAAAACTTGTTTCTCTGAAAGTGTGCAGAACCATATGTTGCATTATATATGAGAGTTTTACGGAAGAATGTATGCCGCTGTCTGGAACTAACCTGGCCAGATTTCACAAGAGCTAGCATTGCCCATGCAGTATTTACGAGATGCGAGCAGTTACCATCTAGATTTGTATACACCTGTTTCAGAAGATGATTAGTGAAATTTGTGTCTTAAGCATTAATGGAAGAGACGTGTGTGCAAGTAAAATTCTGCTATGCTACTTCAAAGGCTCCTCCTATGATGCAGTTTTCTGCAATCAACTTGGAATTGAAGCTTTTTATATCTTTGAATGCCCAATTACGCTTAATATTGGGAAATTGGAGAGCCGAGAAAGATATGACCGAAGCTAGAGGGCAGGGCATTTAGGTCATTTTGTTATGAAGCTGACAGTTAAATCAGCCTCTTGTGAGCATGCAGTCTGGCAGTAGCAGCAGTATGACCCACCCACCTTTATAGCTCCTAAAGTTCCGACTATCTGTTATTTCACTGATGAAACAGAATCATGTTTGAAAATGGTCTACAAAATGAAATTGGAGGAGGAAGGGGTATGATCACAAATAAAGGATTAGATATCGTTTAAATTAATTATACGTGGGGGGTTGGCGATGGAACCTATCTATCTTTAATTACGTGTCGTGGAGCCGATGCCTACAAACAGGCTGGCTAGCTTCGGAGATTCTAGTTGTATTAAGGGTTTTTTTTTTATTATCATACTGATCAAATTGTGTCGTTTTAGACTCGGCACTAGTCAGATTATTCTCTTTTTTTTTCTTCAAATTAAGAAGCTTTGTCTCTCAAATTTCTCTTTTCCATAATATCGCATCTAGAGGAGATACGTAAAAGCCAACAAACAAACGTATCTGTTTTATTTAGTTGTAGTTGGCATTTCAAGTATTTACCTTGTTTTTTGATGAAAGATAGCTCTCCCCCCAACCACCGGATGCTAATTGCTTTGACAATAAAAAGTGGCAAGCTCTACGGATGCTGGAACTCGTGTCGTAGGTCTTCCCACTCGCTACAAGACCCTCCACTCCGAACCATGTGCCGTAAGTGTAGCATATTCCCCATGAACCATACCTGAGCAAATTTCAAGTTATGTTATGCGAAAACCAGTTTTTTTTTTTTATTTATTTATAAAAGACGCGTGACATCCAACTGAGCTGTATATATGGAGATGAGTCGTCTCTTAATTATTCCTACTCGTGCCTCTAAATTTCACTCAGGAAAAGACGCTCTGACTATTGTGATATATCTCATGCAAATGTAAGCTATATGTATAGTCAGAAAGACAGTCTATCTGCGTTTATTAAATATAATATCAATAGATCTAAGAAGCTGACCATGAACCATCGTCCTCTTGTTTATTTTCTATAAATTTCATTCCTCTTTGTATGCAACTTTCTACTTCTTCTGTTCGATATCCAGGGTAGATTTCCTTAAATAATGCCAATGCCTGTATGGCTGACGAAGTGCACTCGACATACCTGAAAAAGAAAATGCATGAGCTTTAACGAGTGTCTGAGATAATTATCTGCAAATGAAATCATCTTTGGTGCAAGATCTTACTGATACTCAAGAACAATGTCTGCAAAGAACTCCGAAGCATTGAAAAACTGGAAGGAAAAAAAAAACATATTCAGATGAATGAGTGGCCGGTACTTGAAGAAAATCTCCATGACTAGTAATACTTACTTGAAAATGTATCGAGGAACTATGCTACTGGTAAATATCATTTTGTCTAAGCTATTTATGGTACGGGAAACAAGAACATGCTGGGTGTAGTTCTGCTTTTCTCCAGTTATCCAACCAAAGCCTTTCATTTGTTCTTAGATTTTTTTTTCTTCTATGAAATAGTTTTTTTTTCCAATTCGGATCTAGTCAGGCTCATCTGTCGAATTATTATCAGCGAGTATGCTGGGCATGTAATATGCACCTAACTTATCTTTCCTGATTGCAACTCCTTAGCCTCTAGCCATTTGTGTGTAGTGTATCCGTTTTCAGATCGAAACACAGATTTGTGTTCATATTTTTTTCAAATTACAGGGTATTGATCAGCATCAGACCATATTATTTATATCCGTTTATACACCTGACTAAGACGAGGCTAATACACCCCTGACTAAGAAGAGGCTAAACCCACTATTATATCCTATTGAGTCAATCCTGGTCATAGGTGATGAGTGGGCACCAAAAAAGGGTGTGGGATTTTTAAAAAAAGCCCTATGTAAATGTAAAGGTCTCTAGAAAAATTTGTATGCACATCATCTGACATGAGAGCCTTCAGGAATATGACATGCAGACACGGACACATGGTTGAAATTTATGTGAAATATGTCCATGAAAATGCTGTTTATGTATTCAAATGCAAGCACCAGTCAGTTCATATATATTCTCACGCAAACAGTTTATCCTTTCCTTAGTATGAATCAGACGGGTGATTCAGACTCACCATTCTTCATGAGAAAATTCAAGGCTTTCATTATCTCTAAGCAATACGTCCTTTAGGATTTATAGTTTCATGCAATCTGTTTTGTCAATTGTCCATGGAATTTGTTTTAGCAAAATGACAACTAACCTTGTGCTTCAATATAGTCAGATAGCCTCAGTGGGTTGTTGACATAACATATGTTTTTATCGTCTTTTTTAGCCACCCAACATTTTATTCAAAATCGATTGATGTTCATATGCATCCAAGTTTGCTCCAGATGTCAAGAGGCAAATAGCCAAGTACGTCAAGCTAAGTATTTTCACAAATTCTGCCTACCTTTTTTAATATTCACCTAGAAATATTCAAGCATCCATTATTCTACAGAAAGCAAATCTCTCTAAATAATCATCAATGCTAAGGCAATCACACACAGGAATGCATGCTATGTGTTATCTTATAGTTATGTGGGTGAGCTTTTTAAGTTTTAACTATTCCGTGAAAGAGTTTTTATTTACAGTATATGAATAGAATGAAAGATGTTAAATTCTAGATCTTTTGCATGCAGTTACCTCTATCCACTGATATGTACGTGTTAACTCCCATGTAGAGAATCCCCCGTTCCTATTCTGCATTCAAGAACCAATGAGCTATAGAAGGGAAGAACTTCTCCAACACTTAAAACCAATGGACAAGATATTTGCGTGCGGATGCGTATGAGATAAATGGTTATCATATGTCATAAGTCGTATGAGAGGATTCTCTCATAGCTGAATCTCAGGCAATTGTGGTTACGAGGGTTCTTCTCATATGAGTGAATCCTCTCATCTGACAAGGATTCTCAATATTCTCAATGCACACACACATATTCACACATACGTTTGGTTGAGATTTAGTCACATCATTATGTATGAGAGAATCCTCTCATATGACAAGGACACCTCATATTCTCTATGCACGCACGCGCACATGACACACATACACACATATATACATGCAGTGGCGGATCCAGAAATTTTTTCTTGAGGGGCAAAAAAAAGTATCTTTTTACTGAAAGATAAAAATATAATATTATAAAAGATAGTACCTGATGGGAACGCACTCGGTGTATTTACTAGGTTTCTAATGTTGTAGTTTTGGATTTTTTGTGTTTGAGCCCATATGGCTTATATTGTTGGGAATTTAAATGAGCTTTTACTTTACAATGGGTAATTCAGTTCGGTATTAATTAGTGTTTAAGATAGGTTGGGGTCCTTTTTTTAAATTTTTTTTTTGGGGGGGGGATGTAGGGCAATATTGTAAACATTACATGAGCTTGCAGGTGAATTTTTAATTGTGAGGGGTGCAACTTCACCCTACTCATGTATCTATGTCCACCCCTGTGTACATCAGTACATGCACACACTTCCGTATATATATGCACGCACGCACGTACACACCCTCCAACTACACTCCGCTCGCATGCACACACGCGCACATATGCACATGAATGGAAATCTTGTTGCTCATTATTTACTTTTTGAATGTGATGAAGGTTAAACTTTCAGTACTAAGATTTTTTCTTGTTTCTCAAACATGAGCTTGATACCGTACTAACCTATGTTTAAGTCTTTATGGTAAAAACTTTGGTTTGATATTGCCTTTATGTCACATCAGCGCATGGAGAATATTCTGTTGCGCGCAGCGGAAATTTCGGCAGCACTTCGGCAGCACAACAAGAGAGTCAGGTCGCAATAAGAATTCTTGTTTCTCAAAGGGAACAAGAATCTGAAGCCTATATCCTATCAAAGTAGGATATTAGCTCTTCCTCTCGTCAGCTCTAGGACTGCGCGTCGAGGGACCCTAAAAGCTATTACAAATCACACAAAAGCAGTACAACCAATTTTAACGTGGTTCGGCAAATTGCCTACGTCCACGGGGCAAGGAGGGGGGAGATCTACTAATAGAGGGAGAGAATACAACTAGGGTTTACAATCACTCACAAACTAAACCCTCAAATAAACTCTCTCAAATCCCTCACAAACTCTCTCTACGAAAACACAAAATCTTTGCCTGAAAAAACCAAATCTCCTGCGCCGCCTCTGTTCCACAGCCGCACAAAAGCACGCCTCCAAATTGTTTTTCCCAGCCGCAAAGTAGAAAAGAAACAAATCCCTGCCTTACTCCTTCTGCACAAGCCGAAAAATAATTCTCCTTGCACACTCAAAACCCTAGGAACACTGTTCCTTTATATAGCCTTGTGATTATTCGGGTGGGCCGGCTCTTCACGCGTGATCCGGATCTTCACGCGGAAGTCCTCACTTGCCTTCGTGATTATTCGGGTGGGCCGGCTCTTCACGCGTGATCCGGATCTTCACGCGGAAGTCCTCACTTGCCTTCACGTGGGTGGACCCCACAACGTGTTCACAGCGTGATCCGGATCTTCACGCGGAAGTCCTCACTTGCCTTCACGTGGGTGGACCCCACAACGTGTTCACATATTCATGTTTCTATATTTAGAAAGTTAACTCCTTTTATCCTTTATTCTTGCGATCCTTTTGAACAGAAGACCATTAGTTTAAAGAAAAGAAGTTCAACAGTAACATTTACCAAGTAGTCATAAGAAATCCAGTGATTTCGTTGCTCTGGTCTGTCTTGAGATCTATTCTTTCAGAGGAGTTGTGCAAACGTAGGGCGTTTGTATCTTGTAATCCATATAGCTGTGTTCCATAATTGTCTAGAACTATATGATAATGTAGATGAAAATGGGAATCTGTTTCCTCACAAGGATCTCAATCTTCGGTAACATTTACCATTGTTCTTTTAAGATCGATAAAGGTTACCAGAGCCACAGTGGTGATGGATTAATTGCTATCTTACAGATAAGTGAAGGGAATATTGACACGGATTTAGTGTTGTGAATTGTGATATATAATAGAATCTTAATCAATTTTTTGTTACCATTTTAATATTCTTTTGACTTACCTGCAGAGAAAGAATAATGTTTAGGGCATTGTTTAATTGCTCGGTCGCCATTGGCTGTCCCACTATATTCGGTGAAATCCTTGATAATAGCAGTGCAGCCTATAAAAAGACGTGACGAGAAAAACGAAATGTTCAGTATCTTTGTGGAAAGGTTGAACTAATAGGTTTAAGTATCATATTATATTCCACCTTGAATGAAGAGAACAACTTTTTATTTGCTTCTTATTGCTGTAGTACTTACAGCATCTGATCAGATAATTAAGAGTGGCTAGTTATACTACCTTAAGAGCCTCAGCTGTGCAGTCAGATACTGGCCATCCATGATCTGGAATTGTGAAAGCCCACCCCCCTTTGGAGATGTGACGGTGCCGACGCCTGAAGTCGCCAGAAGGGTTCTCCAGAATCTGCAGATGAAAGCAATATCGTTAGTTAAGATCGTATTTTGCCTAGAATGAGAAGAATTAAACTTAATTAACTTGGGACCTGTGAGAGTTTTATGAATTCATGTGCTTTCATTAGAGTAGTCCCATATTCCTCTACAAGCATGCTCGACAAAATTGCTTGGACCGCAAGTACGGCATCCCATAGCTGACTTCCACAACCCTGCCAAAACAAGACAAGTAGGAGGGGCTTGTACGTTGATATTTTAGGAAACATTAATTAGGAGAGACGTGACGTGAGCGATGGAATTCTTAATTTGGTTTACTTTGAGGCTACGTACATCTTGACCATTCTTGATCGAAGATGTGGGATCACATTAATTAGCAACAAAATGACAGTTTCATGAACTCTGTCGAAACCTGTGTACTTTTAACTGGCTGTCGTCTATGGCAAAGAATTTGTGAAAAGGATACTGTTGGCATCAGCATCTTCTATTTTTCATAATGTGACTAATCCAGGTTAATTATGATACCAACTTTTTATGACCACGCAGGTATTCCTTTTTCCTTTCCTTAGAGAAGTTGGTTCCCAATGGCTTATTAACCACCGCTTCTTGCGGTGTTTATCTGTCTCTTGTGGTTTATTTGGAGCTAATCTGGCAGCTTTCTTTCCTGTACGTCTGTTATGAAGCTGTAAGGAAGGCATTGGTCTGCATTCCCTTAGCGTCTCGTTTGGTACGCGGGAATAGAATCAAGAGAGAATCGAAAGAAAGTAGGAATGGAATGCGCATTCTCATTCTCATGTTTAGGCGCATTTAGAGAATGAAACAGCAATGACAATCTTGTTCTCATTCTCATGTTTAGTATCATTTGTTCACAAGTAAGGATAAAATTTAATTTTCTAATAACGTCCTTACGTACAAATACACATAATTTTAAAAACATAAAAATATTCTAAAAATGACTAAATATTTTAGAAAATTAAGTTTATTTTTTCTTATAGAAATAATTTTTAGTTGATAGTTATATTTTGGCACACCGCATCAACAACAATTTCGGACTTTTGGCTTACTAATTGAAAAATAATTTTCATAAAAATTATTTTTGGTTATAAATAATTATAATTCCACCTTTCTAACTTCTAGTGCTACATGTCTATTACTTGTACGAGCAGCTAATGCTACTAGCATCTCTGTGCACAAACGTATACAATAGAGTGAATTCCATATTCTTGCTACATAATTTGACTGAATTCCATATGCATGCATGAAGAGAGAGATCGCGGAAGAAAACACTAAAATTTGAAGGATTAAAAAAACATGTTAACTTTTAGTCTGTATATAAAATTTTTATGAAATTTCAAATGCGCCTTTAACTTTTAAAAAACTGATTAGGAATGGAAAACATGTTAACCTAGAAAGTTTGAAGGAAATAGAAAACATGTTAACCTCGAATCAAAATATAAAGTTCCAATCTCATCAATTAAGCACATTATTTCTTGTTGTGAGTGCTTTGAAAAAATTACCGTAAAGATTAGGCATATATGCTTCAATGGAACTTCAAATTATACATCCATAGATAAACTATTTGCTAACCTAGTTGCCAATAGATTACGCAACCGAGTCGCCAAAAGATAAAAATTACTACAAAGATTAGGTAAAGATTAGCCACACATATATACATATTTTAAAAAAGAAATAATGGTCACCTAATCGAGTAGCGTCCAAGCGAAACGAGATTTTTTTCCTACTGCAGACGCGATGAAACTAGGGCAAAGTCGAACAAAGAATAACATTTTAATATTTTACATTTATTTGTATATTTGTATGAGCAGCTAATGATATTATTTCTATAGAAATACTTTTTCATATGAGAATTTATATCTATTCGTATTTTTTTAAGGAGGGTATAATCAAAAATTATTTGATTATTTTTATTCCCAATTAAGTGGAAATATCAATTCCTTATTAAATGGTTGGGAATGACAATTCTCACATAAAGTTGGAATTGATAAGAAGTGGGAATAGCAATTCTAGCGTATACATCATGGTTAGTACTCATGAATAAAGAGTTGGAATTGCATTCCCACGTACCAAACGAGGCGTAAGATCTTTGATGCTTTATGTGCTATACACATAGCGTTAGTGTCTAAATCTATCCTCTCTTTTTAAAAGTTGAATCAAATAAATTGATCTTTATTAATTTCGTTGTCATAGGAGATAATATCTTGGTTGCTTCTGCCTATGTTGGTACTCCCAAGCTGCCTACGTTGGTACTCCCAAGCTGCCTAAGTTGTCATAGGAGATAATTCTATATGTCATTAGCTTCTAGGAAACTTGAGTGGAAGACTGGAAGATGGAGCAAATGAGTCATATATATTGCAACGCACTTCTTCTCTACGTACCAATTGACAATATTGTTCAAATTAATACCTGGTTGTACTTCCATGCATCCATCCTTCTTGTTTCTTTCTTCCATCCCATATACCAACCTTCAGCCATCTAAAATCAATAATAACATAACTGATCGACCGTTGATTATTGTAATTTTCCCTTTCGAGTTCAGGAATCCTACAACTACGAAGTGGTGTTTTCTCTTTTCTACTACAACGATCGACTTCTTGCATGCGTGACAATTAATATCCGTGTCAGTTTCCATATATATCACATACTTCTTTGTTTTCTACTTAATTTGCACTCTTTTTGGTTCGAATATGTCAGTTAATCCGGTTTTATTTTTATTGACAAAATGTGTTTCGTGTACGAGCAATTAATGATGCTCGTTTTAGTAATTATCTATGGCGGGATGGATAAACCACTACTAAACCACACCACTAACAGAAAAAAAACTGAATTTGACAGGCTGCAGGATTTGTGTCTTGACCTGCATTTTCATGCCGTCCTCCGCGGTCCACAAATAATCAGGTATTCTCGCAAGATGGAGCTTAAATGAATCTGAACTTGGATCTTCCACCCAACAGCAGAGCATACATAAAACCTGCATGATCAAACAGATTATTATCTGTTAATAATATATATATTCCCTATGACAAATATTCGTTTTCCCCCCTTAGTTGTGAAGTTAATTACCTTTTGTGCAGCCCCAACACAAATATATACAGAGTTCTCATCTTCGTAGTGTATATACTCCATAATGGCTTGCAGAGCCCTCTCTCTCAATTTACAAAGAGGCCAGCGTCTCAGAAGTGGCTCACCAATTCTATGTAGGCATTCCCAAAGAACATCTTGTGCGAGAGGATGAGGGTAATAGAGGTCTTCCTGCAGCAGAGTCATGCAAAGCTTCAGTACTTGGAAAAAAAGAAAAAAAAAACTTAAAAATTTTCTGTCAACTTGTTAGTTAAAATTAAGCAGCACTTTTAAGAACGCATTCTCCCGTTTAATTTTTGATAAAAAGCCGCATGAGCTCTGTGCTAATGTAACGGAGAATACAAGACGTAGGCTGCTCAATATTAATTGTGCGATAAAGGCTTTGGTCACGCTGTTATGTTCCGGATAGACTGCCCATGCATGGTGCTTTAAGCATGCCATATTAACAAACATAGATCACATCCCGTGCGCAGATAAAAAGGCATCAAAGAGAGAAAGGTATGATGTTGATGATGATGATTTGGCGTCGTGGATCTGGAGGCGGTAGCGCGGAGGAAAAGGTATGATGGGCGGTTGGGGATCGAAAGGGAGGCGGAATTGACGATACGTACTGATGATGACGACGTTAGTTGATGGGAGGAGGGG